GCGCCTCCGACCGCTCAAAGGCCACCCGCTCGCTGATGCTGACGGCGGAGATGCGTCGCGGCTGCGTCACCACGATGCTGCAGTGGGCGCCCTGGCCCTGGCGCAGGTACGAGTCGAGGATGAACTGCGGCACCTGGGTGGTCTTGCCGCAGCCGGTGCTGCCCTTGATCACCAGCACCGAGTGGTTGGCAATCAGGCTGATCACCTGCTCCTTGATGAGGTAGATGGGCAGCTGGGAGCGCGTCTTGAGCACCGCCTGAAAGCGCCCATCGCTGACCATGCGAAAGAACTGCTCCTGCAGGTAGTGATTGATTGCCTCCTGGCTCATGCCGCTGAAGACCGGGTCGTCGGGGGCGTTCTCCGTCCAGGGGTTGAAACCGGCCTGTGGTGGGCACCAGGAGAGGTTGCTCGGAAGGAGGTTGTTGTTGCTGGTGCCGTCTTCTACTTCGGCGAATGTGCTGGCGTTTAGTTCAGCCACAGCAGCCTCCGCTGACAGAGCTAGTGGATTGAAGAAAGGCGCTCCAGGGTTGCCGTAGATGGCCGTTGAAGTGCCCGGGTTAATCGAGGTGTTGTAGTGGTGTACCATAGAGCAGGNGTTCAGCCACAGCAGCCTCCGCTGACAGAGCTAGTGGATTGAAGAAAGGCGCTCCAGGGTTGCCGTAGATGGCCGTTGAAGTGCCCGGGTTAATCGAGGTGTTGTAGTGGTGTACCATAGAGCAGGTGGCCATCATCTGCTCCTTCAGGGAGGACGAGACGAGAAACTCGTAGATAAAGTTGTTCTTCAGCAGCTGCCGCTTGCTGGGCGCGTTTGGGTCGAACTTCTCAATGAGACCCTCCTTCAGCAGCTGCTGACAGACCTTCCAGGCACACAGCCGACTGGCGTCCATCTTGCTGTGTGACTTCTCCGTGGCCGTGAACTCGCTGCCCTGCACAGGAATGGCAATTGTGGCGGTGAACATTCTGCAAAAAACAATCAATCAATCAATCAACTAGAATCATCCCCAAAAAGATGCTGAAAGAACCTACTTTTGATGTGCCGGCCCACAGCTCTCGTACTCATACTCGGCCTTGATGTTGTGAACCTGCATAAACTGGTGCAGCTGCTTCTTGGCATTGTCCAGCGTGATGTTGCCATGCTGCTCATCAAACTCCTGCAGCTGAGTGGAAGCTGCCTTGCCGGAGTAAAGACTTGTTGAAGTCGTCGAAGAAACG